GACGATCAAACTTAATTGACTGGCCGTCGGATAGACAAACTCGTTGGTGAAGTCGATAAAATGGGCCGAAACGGGGAGAAGAAGTCTTGGTGGTCGCGTCTTCGAGCTTCCTTCTCCTTTCAACTTCCAGTTTTCCTCGCCTTTAATGGGGACACACATTCCGAATGAATTTCTCGAAGTTGTCTGTTCGATCAGAAAGATTCGAGGATTATTTTAAACGTTTTATCGAAGGATTAATTCCGTATAATTCCGTGAACAAGTTTCTTTTTCTTTCTTTAGACCGATATTCGTTCGGTGCTCGTGGAACGATAGTTTCGAAGCGAATATGGCTGAAATGAACAGAATCGGTGAAATAATTTATAACATAAAACGATCGAAGGAGATTCGCGTGAATTCGCGAAGTATTTTCGAGGATGTCCTCGAAACTGGTTAGGAACGTTAATTCTATCCTTCTAAACTATCGATCGATTTTCTTTTTTTTTTTTCTATTTTTTTTCACAATTGAAAGTGTTTGCACGAAAATCCACTTCGATACGAAACGAATCGATTTCGACGAAACGATCGAAACTAAAGTTCGAGCTCGAGTTGAAAGAAAAAAAAAAAAAAAAAAAAAACAAAAAAAAAACAGTTGGATCAGCGAGACTTGTTAAAAAAAATGTCGTGGAAGATGGAAACAGTTCTACTACTTGCCAAGTAACTTCCTTCTGCCATTCCTTCTCTCCTCCTCCTCCTCCTCCTCGTTCTTCTAATTCGCTAACGATTTCGCGGCCGAGGGCATCACCGGGACAAGCGATTACGAGTTTAAGGTAGCCGACAACTGGAGGAGCGTTGGCGGCGGCGGCGGCGAGCTCCGCTCCTCGTAAAATTATCCGTAATAAAATCGTGATTTACGCCCGTGTTCCTGGAAACCAGACCGCTCTCGGTTCCTCTACCCGTGCTCTCGCCTCGTTTTATCTGTCCGCGCTCGTGCTCCTGCCTCGGGATACCTTGCACCATCTCCATTCCCCCCCCTCATTTCTCTCGCAACACACTTTGACCTTTCCGTGCTTCGCCTTATTTTCCACCATCCCGAAATCCCGTCTCGACCGGATGGATCCGATCTCCTCGACTTTCTTCTTTCATTCTGAACGAACGTTCCTCTCTCTTACGTTCGATCACGATACGACTCGATTTTTACATATACTCTCTGCGAAAATGTAATGAAAATTGTGGAATATAATTCCATCGGTGTATGTAGGAAAGAAAAGTGGAGAGAGAGGAAAATTTGATAAGGACGAGAAGATAGAAAACTTTTCCAACGCGCATCAAATTCGAAATGCGTTGACGACGGTAAAGGTTGGCGACGGTTTCTCGTATCGCGATGCTTGTAAAAGGCGGAGGGGTGAAGAAGAATTGGAAAGGGAAGAGAAATTGGAGAGAGAAATTTTAGAGGGAAGAAGAGGAGCAGGGTGGCGTGAACGCAAAGTAGAACGCACGACTCCCATAAGTCGTAAAAGGAGGCTATAAAATTGTGGCCCCCGCGCCCACGGGCGGCCACTCGCCAATTTCATATATATTTACGTCAATCTTCTCGAGTTATGAAACGGCGAGGGTAACGTATGGGCCAATGCTTGCGAAACCGTGAAACTCTGAAAAAGGAAATTACTTACTTATGCCTGTAATCGCCGCGATTCCTTTGTAAACGCGTCGCGATCCTGCAACGTCTTTTTCAACCGAACGACGGGTTTTGAAACGACGATCATTACCGTCGTCCCCCATCTTCCAATTATATTAAGCTATCGATACCGTCCCGCGAGAACGATGTGTGCACACGATATATTTTATTTATACAGCCGCCACTTTCCAATTTCGTTTCGTCGCGATTTCGAAAATATTTTATATATTCGAGCGATTACGAGTTTTCCTCGCTTTTTACGTAATTTTTCAAACTCTCGATATGCAATGTAACATCCTTCTTTACACGTAATTCGCGATAATAACTCGACTATCGCACGAGGGGGATGAAATTTTTTCCCTACAAAATTTCACCCACCCAAGATAAACCGATTTCGCGGGGCGAGATTGAAAATACGAAACGTGGAAAATAGGCGTTTTAATTTTTTTTTTTTTTTCTTCTTCTTTTTATCGAATATCAGGGGACGATATTACGTTATACGAGCACACACGAGGATCGGCTTTATGCAAAGGAAATTCAATAGGCGAACAGTTTATGCGTACTTGCACGATGCGGTCCCTGCTGCGCACCACGGCAATATTAAAAAGAGAGGCTTTTTTATCGGACCGCTTTATGAACAGCAACGGTTTTATCACTTGCGCTCGCTGTGAAACTCTTCCATCCCTCCCCCTCCCCTGATTCGGTATCTCGAACGCGCATGTGAAAATGAGCGGAACAAAATGAGTGTTGTTTCGTGCTCGTTGTGTCGAGATACCGATTACGGTATTTGTTCGGATAGCGTGAAGGATAGTAGGAGGAAGAGGGAGAAGAAGAAGAAGAAGAAGAAAAAAAAAAAGAAGTCGACCATCATTGAAATATACCAAAAATTTATTTACATAAAAACATGAATATAATACCTATAATATTTCAACTGCTGCTTGCACTCTCTTCGCTTTTCCACTCGGTGTCAATATATTCGAAAAACAATCGGCGTCGAGACAGTTCTTGTCCAAAATTAACCGATTATAATTGCCGCATTCATTTTAAATCGCCGAGACAATTCATCGAACGAAAAGATTATAAAGATCGACGGAGAGAAAGAGAGAAATAGAAAATAGCGAGAAACGATCATCAACTAATCCTCTAAAGACGGCGTATCTCTAAAAAAGGAAACGTAATCGATAAGATGCAAACGCAATTCTCGGCGAAACGCAATGGATTCTTTCCTTTTATCTCTCCTTTCTCTCCCTTTTCTTTTTCTCTTTCTCTCGCCTCCATTATTCCCTCCCTCCCATCCCTTTCCTTCGACACGATCCATACATGTGCGCGCGACAAGAACGAAAAAAAAAAAAAAAAAAAAGAAAAAAGAAAAAGGAAAATCACTTCCTTTCTTCTTTTGTCATAAATAGCGCGTTTATATTATATTAAAATCGGTGGAGCACGGTCGATTCGTCATTTTTCACCCCATCATCCATCATCTTTCGCCTCTAACTCTTTCTCGTGTTCGTTACAATATTTACAAAAAAAAAAAAAAAGAAAAAAAAAAAGAAGAGAAAAAAATTGTACGTACAACACAAGATATATTCAGAATATCGGTGGAAAAAAGAAAATAAAATAGGATACACGAATTAATTAAAACGTTTTATCGTTCGTTTTCTCTCATTTCGCTTTCCTTCCTCGTCGATAGATCGATAGACAAATGGTCGATCAACGTTTTTTCGAGCCGAAAATTTCATTTTCAAAAATTTCAAATTCGAAATCATCGCTTCTCTGCCAAGAAATTTGTTCTCCAATTGCACTCGATCCTCTTACCGCACTCGAAAGTAAGAATGAATTTCGATTTTTTCCAGTCGATCCATCGTCAAATGTTTAAAAATTCCGTCAAAAAACCATCGCCTCCCTCGTCGTGATCATTTCTCGACGCGAAATTACATTATCGTTTCGTCGATGGATCGAACGAATAGAAGAGAAGATGAATCGTAAGATAATCACGTTCAACATGGCGATGATCGTTGTCGTTGCAGCGCTCGATTAAATCAGCGCTAAGGAAACGATCAAGCACGCGCTAAAACTATCCGCTCTTTTCTTCTTCCCTTCGTTTAGCTCGATTAATGGTTCCTTAAATTGTATACGGGTATAAAAAGGAGTTGTTCGCTTCGCGACGGCGCCGATTCTTATAAAAGTTCTTCCGTTCAACTGGGACCACGTGGCGCTTGTTCCTTCTTAGCGGCAATTGTTCGAGGAAATTTTCGTAACAAGCGACGGTAAAAAAGACACAAAAAAGAAGAGGCGAAGAAATTAAATAAACTCTGTAACCCAAACATCTGGCAATTATTTCTATTTCTAATCTTAAAAGTCTTAAGATCTTACGTAAAAAGAAAAAAAAAAAAAAAAAAAGAATATAAACTAAAATATGAACTTAAAAAAACATGGTTTTTCATTTCTACATACTTTTATTAAATATTTGTACTCTCTACTTTCGAATCACAATTATGTACAAAATTAAAATAAATAAATCAAACCTTACAAATAATACAAATATGTAAAAATATGTGTCGCTTTAAATCGTATGGGTTACAGAATATTCGTTATTGATAAAAAAATTCTCTCGTCTCTGGGATATTCACCCAAAAGTACAAGTACAAATTGTAATTTCCAAATTGTAAATATATTTAAAAAAAAAGTAATGAGAAAAGAAAAGTAGCGGTTCGTAGAGTTTCTCTTAAGAATTAAAAATAAAGAAAAAAAAAAAATCCTTCTCGTATAGATATCGAACTAAAATTATATCGCTTATTTATTCCTATCATATACATCTTGGAAGAAATATCTTGGAAAATAAGAAACTAAAAATTTATTCTTCCTTTTTTTCTTCAACAATCCTTCAACATTCGAAAAGCGAAAATTCACATTTCAATATCAAATTTTCGTTCCCTTTGTAATCGCTCTTCGTATTTTCTTCCCCCTCCCCCCTCCCCCCCTCCCCTCCCTCCTCTCGAAGGAAAACCGCGTAAGAAGAAGAATTCATTCCACGTGGCGCTGGTCGGCATCGATCGAGCACGTCATCTTGGACGCGAGAAAAAGATATCGTGCATTCCAAGATATTCTTGCAGAAATCTCTCGTACGTAAGAAAGACACGGACAGCGAATAATCTATCGCCGGCTATAAATATATCGATACAATTAGTCTCGAAAAGAATATCGTTCAATCAATATTATTGGTTCAGTTCTCAATTGGACCAACCTTGTTCACGGTATACGATTACCACTCGAAATCGAGAATCGATATCCTAAATTCTTTTTGAATTCCTTAATGAATTATCGCGGAAAAATCGTAACACGATCGGAGTGTTGTCGCGTGTCGCGTGTTGGAACGATTAGGAAAAAAAGCTCACCAGGAGAGGCACTGGATACGCGTAAAAAATTCCCCCTTTGTCATCTTGTCCATTCGTATCAAAATTGAATTAGTAGAAAATATCTTCGCATCTTCGTCGCTTCTTTCGGTAAATATCGTTTAAATGTCTTGTAAAAAGCTTGCAACTCGACGAGACTCCTTCCCCCTTTTTTTTATCTTTTATATATATTTCATTCCATTGTTTCTTTTTTTTCCTTTTTTCTTTTTTCTTTTTTTTTTTTCTTTTTTTTTTTCTTTTCTTTTCGTTTCCTTACCCGAATACGCTTAACTTTCCAAGTTAAAAGGAGTCGAAAAAGGAGTAACGCACTCTGTGAAATTCTATATAGGAGATGTAACTCCCATCGATAGTTCGATATAAAAAAGTAAGGTCAACGAGAGGCCTTCAGTCGTTGATGAAAGAGTTGTAAATCGTCGAAATCCAGTTCCTCGTATATTGCTCTTAATCGATACAAATATAAAATGAACGTAATGTTCTGGCACGATTCATCGATCGGGAGGATCGAAGTAGACGAACGGTGCGCATGGTCGATAGAAAAGTCGATAGAACTCGAGCGAAATATTTGCTGCGTTAAAATCTGTAAACGTTTCTGATTTGGTACAAATCGATCGTGGAATCTACTTGAAAAATTACTTTGATATGTATGTCGAATAAAAAAAAAAAAAAAAAGAACAAAAGAAAAAACACTACTCGATCGCGTACCAAATCACGTCGACGATATCGAAACTCGGTTAGATGAGATATATCGAAGGGATGGATCAAAGTAGACTTGCACGTAGTCGGTGCACAGAAGATATCGAAACGAAGTGTTCGAGCTCGGTAAACAAACAGATACAATTTCCAAAGTCCACGCGTTTCTTTCCTGTCGATCGAAGACGACGAAATTATTGAAAAGCTTCGGAGCTTTTAAAGTCAGAGTCATCGGTGTTTCGAGTTTCGATCGATAATTTAGCTACGGATCGAGGCAGCGAAACGGGAACGAAGATGGTACGTCGAACGAAAAGATATGTCGAGTCGTGGAGTGAAATTTTTTTCTTTTTTTCTTTTTTTTCTTTTCTTTTGAAAGAGAGTCGAGAATAAGAAAGTGGCGTTTTTTTTTGTCGAAAAAATTTAGCGTATTCGTAATCGTGTATGCGTACGCGTTCGTAGCAGAGCCTCGACGAGGATCGCGGCGCGTCCATGGCGTCCAACTGTCGAATGGATCATGCTTTATCGTGCTTCACGCGTCGCAGAGGATATTTCGTAATATCGTACGATATCGATCTAAACATACAGCATCAAAAAGTCGATATATCCATATAAACGCTCATACATCATGTTTCATTTATATACATACACACTTATGTACGAGTACGTTTTCAAAAAAAAAAGGAAACGCAATACTTGTCATCTTGCGTGTGTCTCGTGCGAACCGAGTGTGTGTGTGTATGTGTACGGTGTGTGTGTGTGTGTGCGTGTGTGTCTTCGAGTATGTGTGTCTGTCTGACGAGAAGCATCCTCTTCCCCGTGAACAAAATTTTTGTCCCGATTTCATCATTCCTTTTAACCGCGTCGCGAAAATACAATTGTTATTGTAATTGGAACAACGCAAGGAGGAAAAAGAAAAAAAAAAGAAAGGAAAAAACCGTCCATCTTCCTATTAAACGCGAATTTTCTTAACGCGTCAGCCAGCATCAGAGATACTTTAGCTAAAAGCCTAAGTTATTAAACTCTGGATTACAAAATTTGCACACAGAGATACGACCACACGATTCTCGTGTATTTATCTTTTTCTTTTTCTTCTTCTTCTTCTTCTTCTTCTTCCTTCTTTTCTTACTTTTAATCGTTTCGAAATTCGATCGCCTCGAAACCGAGAGGATTCGCATCCCCGACCAGATCGAAGCTAAGCGAAATCGGTCGGAATCAATCGTCTCGGTCGTTTCCAAAACGGGGACAACGAAATTAGCAGCTTAAGATTTATTATATCACATCGTCAATAATATGTGCGGCAATATTTGCTTCTCCAACGCCCAAGAATAAATTTGATCGGCGAGTCGAGAAGGACTCGGCGCTGAGAATCGATGTTTGACATCGAAAACTCGTTTCAGCTTCGATTTGCGATCATACCAAACTCGTCGCTATATATATAAAAGAAAAAGAAAAAGAAAATTCTCCTATACCGTTCGAGCCGCACTCGGGACTCGACGCACGTGATCATCGTGATCATCGGATTGGCAGTATCGATCGCGTGACACTTTCGTCCGCGAGGCCTTAAAATGTACACAAATTAGTATTATTATTTTATCCTAGAGGCGACAGGTCGCAGGTTTCCTTTAGCGAACACTGTCCAAAAAAAGAAAGAAAGAAAGAAAGAAAGAAAGAAAGAAGAAAAAAAAGGATCGTTTCGAAGCGATCGTTCCAGAAGCCGATTCTATCAAGCAAAAACTGTAGGGCGACGCGAACGCCAACAACGCAAAAAAGCCGAACTCTTCTCTTCTCGAGGATAAGGATAATACGATAATCGTCTCCGCTTTCCTCTCCCCCTCCCCGCTTCGTCGTCGCCTGTTTTCCTCGGAGGAGGAGGGTCGACGGACATCCGCGTTGGACAGACAGAACTGCGGAGCAGAGCAGTTAGTGGTGCCGAGATCGCAGAGCAAGGAAGCGGCCTCGCCCTAGCCCTGCCTAACCCTTCCACCAGCTGCACAAACAGCAAAACCATCGCCTCTCGGGATGGGGCTGGAGTATCTGCTATTGTCAGTGCATCGCCCTGGTTGTGGTCAGATGGGTGGTCTCCGCCCTTTTGGGCGGTGGCGGTGGCGGCCTTCGTTTACTCGCGATCGCGTTCACGATGTTGATGCTGCGATTCTCGTCCGCGAACCTCACGCTCGATTGCCGCGCGGGGCTGGACGCGTACTCGACGGGCGCGTGAGGATCCGTCGCGTACACGTTCTCGTACAGATTGTCGGCCCCGTAGTGTTCCTGAACCCAGTTCGACACGTTCGTCTCCCTGTAATCGGCCACGGCGGGGGGTGGTCGCGGAAACCGAGCACCTCGTGAGGGGTGGTGGTCGAGTCGAGCTTGCACTTCTGCGCCACTTGCCACTTTTTCCTCATCACTCGTTGAAGATCCTTGAGGAAATCGCCGGGTGGCGCTTGATCCGAGGCTGCCAGCTTCTTGGGTGACGTGAGCCTCGTGCTGTCCGACCTCCTGGGCGGCATCGGTTTCCTCTGCGGCAAAGCGGGGCTGCCCGGCTCCTGTTGCGGGGGAAGGTTGAACGTGATCTTCTTCCCTGTGCCGGTCTTCGACTTGGGCGACGTAGGCGGCTCTTGAATGGTGACCCTTCGTTGCGGCTGGGGACTCGAGGCGGCCTTCAACTCCGCCAGATAGGGAGGGGCAGCGTAGTGGCCCGATCCTTGCTTCATCGCGCTTCGCCTCACCGTGTCCATGTTCGGTTCGGCCTGATTGGCTGGATCACTGTGTTGTGCTGGTGGCCACCGTACATCGACTCGATCTTCGAGTTTTGCCTCGTCAGGCTGGAGGAACCGTTGCTTCCGTGTTGTTGCTGTTGGGAACCGTAGGCTGGCGGGGGGACGAAGGGAGGGGGCGAGGCAAAGTTCGGCGAGCTCGGGGCGTAGGTCGGTGTGCTGGCGCTCGAGCCTGGATAGGAACTGTGCGGCGACGACACCGAGTTCACGGCGTTGCTCGCGTGAAGAGCGTTCTGCGCGGGGTTCGAGGAACCGTAGCTCTGGCTGTTCTGCATCGCCGAGTTGTTGCCCGGATTCGAATACGTTTGTTGATTGTTCGACGGTCGATTGGACGACGCGTGGGTCGGTGTGCCTTCCGGCGTCATCGACGAGCTCGAGGACGTAGACTGTTTGGGCCTGGCTCGACGAATCGTTCCCGTCTCGCCGACCAGGGGGCTCGGGGGTGGCGGAAGGGACGCCAAACTCAACGAGGAACCGGTGAGTTCCGGGGTGTTGCATACCGGCAGTTCGCCGGGCGCTGGAGGGGGCGGCAAAGAGTCCAACGAGAGATTCGATCGGAACATCTCGGGCGGAGGTGGTGGGAGCGGCTCGTTGTCGGATTCTGCCTCCTCCGTCACTCTCGACGGCGATGGTGGCGGTGGTAACGAAGTGATCGAATCCATCTGGAAAAATATATGTATATCGAGATAACCGTATCGGACTGGTTCAATTAACGGCGCTCGATTAATTTACCGATACCAACCATGCACGATGGTATAGGACTCGTAGGTGTTTTCGATTCTTGATTCTCCGATCTGTTGTTGTTGTACCCCATAGGGCTCGCTCTTTCTCTGACCGGAGTGCCAGGTGGTACGGGACTGACGGGGGTCGCGTTACCCGATCTGTGATGTCTCTTCAACGTTCCGGATCCATCCGAGTCGGTGCCGCTCCTTCTCCGGCTGTGCCTTCTGGTCAACGTTCCGGAGCCCGAGCTGGTCGGACTGGGACACGAATCTGGCTCGTCGCGAACCGTCTCACCCACTTCCTTCAATTGTCTCGTGATCGATGTTAGCGGCAATTTCGGATTCATCGAGGGTTTCCTCTTTATCGTACCCGTTGGAAACTCGCCGCATTCGAAAGCCACCTGTATACCCGCGTGCAACGAAACGAGACGAAACGAAACGAAACGAAAATTAAAGATCGCTAAGATATCAACAGATTGGAAAAGTTAAAATCCAAAGATTTTGTCCCCCTCGTTTACCTCGCAACTACTGGGCGCTCCATCGGACAGGCATCCACTGGAACTCGAGCTGCTCGCTCTGCTCAGCCTACCGTCGTTATTGTAACTCTGTCGTTGCTCGGAATTGTAACTTTGCCTCTGGCCTTCGTACTGTCTAGCATTGGCTACTTCCGCGTTGTGCCTCGAATTTTCCGTGAATTGGCGGGCGTTGTCGTTGGTCGTGTTGTACTGAGTTTGATTCTGAGTCGGCGGGGCGATCGAGCTGACCGAACACGACCTCGCGTGGGCCAGCATATCGAGATCCTCCTGAGCGAGCTCGTCGACCAGGGTCCTGTAATTCTCCATCAACTGTCTTCCGTACTTGGCCACTCTGATTCCAACCATCCATCGTTCCAAAGACGCGTTATCCTCCGCGCAAAGAAATTTGATGTACTTTGTCGATTTCGGTTGTTGCAGTCTCGGATGTTTCACGGCGAAACAAAAATCTGTCGGTGCTTTGTACTTCTTTTTCCACCCGATACCGTAGTAAATTTGATTCACGTCGAAGGTGGCCAGGCAAACGAGGTCGCGAGCAGTACGAGCCTTTTCCTTCGGCCAATAGTACAGGCCTGACGCTCGAAGAATAAAATGATATCTCTTCCATCCCTTCTTGCTATCCGATTTCAGATACAATGGCCCCTCGACCTGAAACGATCCATGTCGAAACGTTATTCCTCTTCGTTAATTTCCTCTTTTAATACTTTCCTTTTTTATGAACGAACTACGATAAGATAGCACCAACCGCATCGACGCAAGCGTAAATCGAAAGCAATCCAATTTTTAATTACCTCTGGCACGCCAACGTTACTGCTGGAAAAGAATTCCTCGAGAAGGATATTGCGCGAGTGATCGTCGTATTCGCCGCAACTTCTGTCGGATAAACCCAGAAGAAATCTCTCCGGGGTAAGGAAAAGTTGGGTCTTTTCTGGCCTCTCGACGAAAAGCAGCTTGTTTTTCGAGTCTCTGGTCCACAGTAAAAGATTCTCCACCAGCAATTCGTGATCTTCGTATACCCTTTCTAAAAGAAAAAAAAAAAAAAGAAAAGAAAGAAAAAAGAAAGAAATCAGACGGGAATGAAGAAACGGTCGGGCAAACCGATTTCGATCGCGATATTCACCCATGAAAAGGTCGGGCAAATGCTCGACCACCGTCCACTTTGGATCCATCGGCACGTGATTCTTATCGGCCAGAAGCCTGCACACGTGCGCCACGCTCATTCCTTCGTCTACGAGCAAGCTTTTGCCACTCCCGTCCAAGGTGAACGCTTTGATGAACAGCTTCTGAACGCTGGCTTCGCGCATCTTCTCCAACGCCAACCGGATCTTCTCTGCCTTCACTCGGCTCGCGGCGTCTTTCCATGCGACGAATCGACAGAAGCGTTAAAACGTCGTACTTCCGAATTTTCGTTCAAAAATGAAAAAAAAAATGTGAAAAACTCACCCATGAGTTGGTGAGATTGCTGCTGGGGACCTGTGTGCATGGCGGTCTGAGGTGGTTTGTGCCCGGAACCGCTGCTGCTCGCGGAACTCTCACTGGACAACATCGACACCGTGTCCGAGAACGCGCTGTCGTTGTCGGGACTGTCGGTGCGCATAGCTGAAAACAAATACTTGTGATATTAATAGTTGATCGGGGGATCCTACGATAAGGACAAATTTTATTGTTCCTGGGCAAAATTTCAAAGATCAAATATTTTCGAAAGAATACGTTTATATTTTTCTGAGACGACGAATGGTGAAATACACAACGATGCGGAAAATTCATGAGAAATTTTGTAATATTCTTAATCGCGAAATCGCGATGATATATGCTTTACCTCGATAAGAGGTTTTATCTTATTTATCGTGAGAGACGAAACTTCAAGCGTCAAATAGATAAATAAACTTAGACAAATTTCTAGGGGCAACAAAAAGAAAAAAAAAAAAAAAAAATTAATCGAATCAATACGTACCTCCTTCGTTTTTGCCGATATCGGTATTGTCGCCAGCGGTGATTCTAGTGCTATTAGGTCGGCCCTGTCTCTGCGAGTCGGGCGCAGGTGTGGAAGCGATGTCGCCATCGCAGCGGCGCTCCAGAGCGCACAACTCGCCAAGGATGGCGTCCAGATCGACATCCTGGGAATCTGCAACAAATACGGGATAACATCGAGATTGATCGCCGTGTGAAAACAAAGCGAGCCAAAAAATGATAAAAGGAGTAGAAGGAAAGAAAGAAAAGAAGAAAAGAAAAAGCACGGGAAGATATCGAAAGTGAATATCGGACGCGCAGGCATGCTAAAAGAAAGGATCGTGCTCGACGATTACGATCGTAATGGGGGAAACTGCTAATGGACACGAATTATGAACGATCCAACGATGAAACCAGTTCCGCGCTAATTACCCGCACGATTGTACGGTCATCTGGTAACCGCACGCTCGCTCGCTCGCTTCGTGTGTTCCTCGAATGTGAAACGAGGCCTCGGAGCCTCGTGTACCTGACCTCGTGCAACACCGAGGCGAAAGTCCTTGGCTCGCCTCAGAAACGAACGGTTTTAATTGCGACCGTAGATCGTTTAAACCGGTCGATGCCTGTTTTCGGAATCCCTCCTCGTGCAAATCGATCTTTTTACCTGATTCCCCTTCGATCTCGATGAATAACGACGAGAGACGAGAATCCGCAACCCCTTGCTTCCTCTTGCGCAGCGGTGATTATCGAGGAATCCTTCCCCGTACGTGATAATATCGACTTCGTTAAGATAATTAACGAAATTAGACCGGTTAACAGAAACAACAGGATTTTTCAACCCGGAAAGAATTGTTCCAACGAGTTATGCAACGAGTTGTTACTCGCATATACTATCCATCCTCGTTATCTCTATTAAGTGAAAAGAAAAGAAAGAAAAATAATATCGAGAAACGAAATAACAAATAGTTTCGATCGATATCTATCAACGCTTCTAAGAAGCAACGTTCCCCAAGATTATTTTATCGTTCATCGACTGTTGCCCTCCTTTCATAACAGAGCTCGCAATTAGCGAATAGCAGTTCAGAATGAAATTCTCGCCAAGAGTTACGAAGGCGTGAGACATTCCATCGCGAACCTCCCGAGCTCGGCTAAGGGCGCTCCGTGCGTATCTCTCTCTCTCTCTCTCTCTCCATCAGTTCTTCTAAAACAACTTTTTTCTTCTTCTGAAAATTACCAGCTTCTTACCAGCGTAACGCTGGTTTCCTTAAACTATAATACGACTCGTTCGAGTTATAAGATGCGACACGCTTTATCAAGGTGATCAATTACTCGCGAATTAGTGTCAAGATCGTTTCTAATTCGGATCGTACGAGAGTTAATCGTGGAGAGAGACGACATGTAACGGAAATATATATAAATGTAATTTGGTGGTACAAAAATTGTATTTGATATTCATTCGTTTACCCACTCTTTTCTCGAACGAACGACGAGCTTATTTACGCGTATCCGAGTTAAGAGAAACGAAAGATCGAGTGAATGAATGACGAGGTCAACGTGGAATGCGACGATATCTCGTTCAGGATTGTCTAGCTACGTCGGCGACGATAGGAAACCCAAGAAACTCGGGCTAACGTTATCAATCGGATTCTTCGCTTTGAATTTCCAACCTGCTGACATTTAATTCAGCGGAAAAGGAGCTCGCCGTTGGTTACGCCATTGTAACGTGTATGACGCGTGTGCAAAATGGACGTTCATTGCACATCTTCGCACTCGATCGAACCGAATATTATCTCAAATTCACTTCTTTTCTATTTAAACTCGGATTTCATCGTGGTTTAAACGAGATTAAACAAGAAGCAAATGACTCGGTGAAAAGTGAAACAGCGACACAATAGGGTGATGATAGGAGAAACGACCTCGACCAGCCAAATCTTCGACCGGCTGGCTATAATTAGAACTAACAATAAGAGCTGCTCGCTAATCACCGATTGTTAGTCCAAGAGCGAAAACCATTCGGTAGTTTCGGAACGGTCATCTGCTTAACAACGAGCTGTAATCGTGGCGATTCGAGCTTAACTTCTCGATCGGTCAGAGAGAGAGAGAGAGAGAGAGAGAACCGACGCTTTTCAATCCACCGACGAACCAATGATAACAATGGGAACGGAAGTCCCGCGGAAATTCCCTCGAAATCGAATCTTCTTTGAATGATAATATTTTATCGTGTTCCGTCTCTCGATTATATCTTATCGCAGCTTTTTACCTTCTTAATCGCCTCGAATTTTTTCGTTTGCTTCGTCATTCTTAAAAAGAATACAGAAATATTTATATACAAAAAATATATATATATATATACATATATATCTACACAAGAATTTTATTTTATTGCACTTCACGATCACTGTGAACGTAATATTTTATATTTTTGCAATTGCAAAATTACTAGATAATCCGATGGATTAAATTTAATTCAATATTTCGAATATTCGAGCGAGACCGTAAACCACGGTCAGGATATCGAATGAATAAAATTAAGCAAATATTTTCAGAAATCTAAATCCCCCGTTGATCGTCAGATTACCGGTAATTTCAGAGATTCGCGAAGCTAAACATATTCGAAATTCTAGTCGATATAATATATATATATATATATTATATATATATATATATATATCGAATTGCGTGCTTGAAAGCCATCGACAAAACGGGGGTGCATAATTTATCTTTTGATGATTATCGATCGGTATATGCGGTATACCGATACAAATACCGCTTGTATTCGTTTATTTGTTTTATCGCCGCAATATCTAAATCGTTATTGTTTATTCGAATTACAATTTTTCTTTCATTCTTTCTCGACAAAGGACACGATCCAACGGAGATTCGAACTCGATTCCAAACCTGATCGGGCAGCTCGTTCCAAACGAAACTGAAACCGACGACGAGCTTGCAGCGAGCATGCACGATGCACTTTCCACGTTTACGAACACGATGGAGTAACCTCGAGAATGCCTACGCCTCGTAAACTCGCGAATAAGCCAATGGATTACCGTTAGCCACGCGTCTACCGCCGCCTCGACGCCGTCCAATGGGACACGAGAAACGTCCAATTTGTATTCCCACGAGGATCCGCATCCGACACAGAGGTGATGTGCACGTGTGTTTTCTGTGAGCCGCGTTAATGCCCAACCACGCGCGATCCTCCTCCACGATACGACACGTACTCTATCTATCCTCACAATGTTCTCTCCTCGTGCACCAGACGAGGAAACTATAAAATTTTTAGGGAGTCCGGGGGCGTCACCCATTCAACGCGTGAACACACGCCGCGAGCCGAGCCGAGTTTAGTCAGTCTGCGCACACTTTCTTCGTTGAATAACGGAGGATGCTCGATTCCTTTTCCAATACCTACGTTTTCCCAAACACCTTTTCTTCACCTCTTTTTTTTTTGGTTTGGGGAATTATATTATTGAATTTTTTGATTGGACAAAGAAGAATCGTATCTCAAAGAAAATTTCGGGAAAAAGATATTTCACTTGTTGTATTCATCGTGGAAAAAAGTTGTTTTAACAGAGTAACAAATAATGGCTTCCAAACGACGACGACGGGTTTAAATACGAATAACAAATTAGTATTTTTAAGGTGTGGCTACAGGCGCTGATTTAACAGCGATGATTAATTGCGCCGATAAGTAGTGGTTTTATATTTGTAATAAATTACAAATGAAACATTACTCGAATTCCATTCAAGGTAAATAATTCTGCTCGAGAACTTGAACACGATCCTTAAATTATAAACGAAAAGTCATTTCGACGAATATCACGATAATAACAAATCCCGATAATCTTGGTTGGGCGAAAAGTTCGATCTATCCAACTATCGAGACGTTGAGATCTCGTCATCGTGGCAAAATGATCGAATGAACGAGCGAGATAGAAAAAAGTAAAATAATACGACTTTATCGCAACGAAAGCGATCTCGACGAGAATTCGTTCGTTCGAAGGCATCGGGGAGCCTACTTTCTATCTGCTTTCTATCGCGACACTGCATTATCACGCGGTCGAATCCGAGCCCGTGTATCTAAAAGCTTCCTGTTCCTCTACCAGCCTTCGTCGTCCTTCCTTCTCAGATCTTAACAGACATCGCTGCTAATTGGACACCTTTGCTGCACGTACCTTTGCTGGCCAGGTAACCCAGTATACTCTCGTTACTTCCGAAATTCGCGAGCATCTTCGAGAATGCCTCGCGCCGATCCTTATCGCCAATCGATATCAATCAGCATCTAACACTTTATTATGCCGTGAAACGGAAGCACAATCGTATCAACACTTCGGGTGACTCGGATAACTGTATACAAACATTCCTTCGACGATTTGGAAAATTCGGGCGAACGAGAGAGAGAGAGAGAGAGAGATCAGGGCGATCACAAAACTCGCGTATACGACGTAATAATACGAAATTGGCGAATTTCGTGCGATAATTCGGATCGAATCGAATCGAAAAACGCGAACGATGAGATGACGACGAGAGAGCGAGGAATCGTGGGTATACGAGGCGGTGGATAGGAAAAAGAGGGATCATTGGGCGAGATAATGCGGCAGGAGACGGGGAGATACGCGACACGAACGCATGTTTACCGCGCGTGCGACGGCGCTCGACTAAAGGCCTTAAGGTGAACACACTTGCCTCTTGCCTCGAGAGTTTTCCACGCGGACGCGCTCCACGCTTGCGTGTAGGTGTACCTCGTACGTGGTTATGTCTCCAAAGCGGTAAAGAGGGTTGGACGTGCACGGGGAATTACGCAAACGTCCATTAGACTGGCTATTAGCGTTAAAAATTATTTCACGCGATCATCGGCCTGAGGAAAGCGAACAAGAGAGAGAGAGAGAGACGAGGGGAGAATAGAAATTTGATTTTCATTCGTCGCGAAATGGAGGAGTGTAAATATTTTTTTTCTTTTTCTTTTTTTTTTTTCGATCAACATTGTTACGTTTTAATTCGAGAACTCGATAGAGTTACTCGCAATCGTTACTTAACCGGTATAAATCTTCCGATTCAATGAGTTTCATCGTGTCATAATTCGTATTGTATTCGCCGATTAAACGCATAATAATCCACAAATGTGAAAGTGCTAATACGTTTTATAGCCGGCATAAAACGTAACAAGCCGTGAAAGCTGTT